CAAGGATTGTTTGGTGGCAACAGCCCCTGTCTGCAGGGGCAGACAAGGGCTGCTTTGCAGCAGTGACCCCTGTCCTCCCTCCCCCTGCTGTCTCTGTCAGGAGGCACCCCAGAGACGGTGATGAGGGGAACCAGCTTTTAAGCTGGCTCTCCCCAGCACTGTCTCCTGTCTCCCCTTGCTGCCTTATAGAGGCAGCAAGGGGGGGGAAGGGTGCCACAGAGCACAGGACAAGTGGGGACTGCTTGAGTCCCTGTTCGCACCATGCTCCCTGCGGCATTTCTACTTTTGAAATGTAGAAGAGCCCCACAGGGCTATTGTATGTTTCAAAATTAGAAGCACTTACAGTGGAAACTGGCATGAGCAGGGACTGCTTGAGTCCTCGCCTCCCCTGTGGAGATGGTGCTGGGGGGAAACCAGCTTAGAGCTAGTTCCCCCCAGCACCAGCTCCCCCTTTTTGCCTCTCTCAGATAGAGGCAGCAAGGGGAAAGCAGGGCAGCAATTAGTCACTTACATCCCTACTTCCCTCATATGTCATGTTTTTTAGATCTTTAATCATTTTTGTTGCTCTTCTCTGGACTTTCTCTAATTTGTCCACATCTTTAATATATGGAGATATACCTATCTCATAGAGCTGGAAGGAACCTTGAGAGGTCATTGAGTCCAGTCCCCTGCCCTCATGGCAGGACCAAGTACCATCCCTGACAGATTTGCCCCTGATCCCTAAATGGTCCCCTCAAGGATTGAATTCACAACCCTGGGTTTAGCAGGCCAATGCTCAAACCACTGAGCTATCCTTCCCTCCCCCTCTTCCTGCAGAGTGGTACTCCGAATTGGACATGCTATTCCAGTTCAGACCTAATCAGCATAGAGTAGAGCAGAATTACTTCTCCTGTTTTGCTTTCAACACTCCTGCTCATACATTCCAGAATTATGTTGGCTTTTTTGCAGCAATGTTACATTATCTCTCTAGCTTGTGATCCACTATAACTCCCAGAGCCCTTTTTTCAGTATTCCTTCCTAGGAAGTCATTTCCCATTTTGTATGTGTGAACTGACTGTTCCAAAGTGGAGTACTTTGCATTTGTCCTCATTGAATATGAGGAACATATGAGGAGGTTCTGAAATGTTTATTACTTGCATTATTGACTTTTTCACTGTACTTTTCTATGGTTCTGCAACTGAAAATGGGAACAGTAACATTTAAACAAGTGAGATTTCAAATAACAGGACTGTATTGTAGGAGGAAAGGTAGTGTTATGAGCCAAGGACTTTTAGGTTCTCTTCCTCTTTCTGCCACAAACTGTCACTTTGAGGGAAATGTTGCTGAATATTTTCAAATAAAAGTACCTAAATTGTACCAACACAGGACACGTGTGCAAGCAGAAATGCTAATTAGCGAGTTTAAAATATGTATTTACATGTGCAAAAATGACTACCGTATATACTCGAGTATAAGCCGACCCGAATATAAGCCGAGGCACCTAATTTTACCCCAAAGAACTGGGAAAAAATATTGACTCGAGTATAAGCCTAGGGTAGGAAATGAGGCAGCTACTGGTAAATGTAAAAAATGAAGATAGATACCAATAAAATTACATGAATATTTATTTCAAAGAAAAACAATAACCTAGCTCTGTAAGTGGAAAAGGGGGGTCAACAAAAACAATATGGTATCAAAAATACCGTAACTTTAAAAGTACAACAACCTTAGCTCAATCAGCAACCAAGCTAACACACGAGCTAAAATCCTTCAAAACTGGAGTTCTCCTCCTCATCATCTGTATGTCCAAACAGAGCTTCAGCTGGTGTGAGGTTATCAGCATAGACATTGTCATCATCACTGACAAACTATTATGGAGTAGTTTTTTAAGAAAGCATATTGGAATGTATTTAACTCACTTAGAAGCAGTCCCAGCTCTACGAACATCAAAATGCAGTATGTAGAAAAAGTTGAAAGAAAAATATAGTAAATCTGCCCTCTTCCACAACAAGTAAAAATAGCACCTAATGTAGCATCATTGCCAATGTACAGCAGCTATTCAAGTACATGAAAGTTTAAGTAAAATACTTCCAACTTAATCTTAGAAATGTTTTATACCCTTTTAATATATCATTTTTTAAAAAGTTCCTAGGCAGTCACTGTGCAGCCAACAAGCCTATGTATGTGCGCTGTTCATCGCACATACATAGAGCTTTCAGACCTCAGAAATTGACACGAGATACTTTGATGATGAATTTACAGCGCAGTCCATAACAATAACACCTCCTGACAGATACGACAACCTGGATGCCTTAGAACCTGACCAGCGTACTCACTTTCCTCAGTTCTCGAGACGCTGACTCGAGTATAAGCCGAGGGGGGCATTTTTCAGCACAAAAAATGTGCTGAAAAACACGGCTTATACTCGAGTATATACGGTAAGAACCCCAGGCATCCCCAAGTCAGCTGCTGCTGAAACTGATCAGCAGCTGATTCCAGGAAGCCCCGGGGCAGAGGCTTTCTGTAGGCAGCCCCCG